AGTAATAAGGCTATATACTATACTATTACTTATCCCAAGTTAAATACAATATTCGCACTATACTCAGTGTTTCAATTACTGACAGTCTCCGAAATCAATCAATGGACGGCTTTATGACAATACCGCAAATTACAATGACGTGTAAGGTAAGGTATTGTTGTTGATAGCTTCGGAAGTTTATGATGGACTATCGAGAATGAAGACAGATATATATTCTAAATTGCCAATATATATTCTAAATTGATAAACTACAGTAAAATAAGTATGCTGTAAAAAAATCTTTAGTAGAAGAAGAAAATATAATCTTTAATCAGAAGAAGAAAATCGAATAGATCATAAATTAGTTTTTATCCGCATAAAAACGAAGATTAACTTACAATTTGGCTGCCTCATGATTGAGATTTCATTTCAGCTTGAAATAGAATCTTTTTGTGCAGTATTACTTTTTGCGTTTTGAACTATAAGTTTGCAATCAAATTTACTGCAATGAAGAAGAAAGTCCGAAATACATTGCTCTAGGCTGGGGATCGATGAAAGTTCTCCCAGCCCACGCACAAGATACAATACTTTAAGAATAAATTACGTATAACTTCAATTTCCTTTACTGGTAAAACATACGTAAAAAGTAATAAATATAAATTAAGATAAATTTCAAACTTGATGAATAAAAATAAGGTATTAATAATACTTTAAACACAAAACTAAATCTTTTTCACCTCTTTTTAAATTATTAACAATTTTACGTCCACATTATAATAAATGCAGCTTAAAATAAATATGATAGAAATTAAGATCCAAAAATAAAATTAAATTTATAAAAAAAAAACGTTTCTTTCCAATTCTCTAAATAACAAAAAATATTGGCATCAGAAGGACAGTACCCAAATGTCGAGACACTAAACGCAAATACACTATTCCACTAAACATAGTTCTAAAATTAATGAGTGCCCACTAAATATAATTCTATAATAAACAATTTTAATAAATGCTCAATATTTTAAACAAATCCTGTACTCAATCGTGTAGCTACTGACATCTATGCTACATTGTAAGTTACTAAGCTCTATAAATTGCTTAAAGCGCCACCTATTCAGGTTGCCTGAAGTAATATGTAAGAGTACCGTAACTCCAAAATTCATTGTCAGTATTATTGAAATAGAAAAGTTTAACCTATTTAAAAGATGTCGTTTTATGTATACTTCAACTGGCAACATTCAAACTATCAAGATGCTGTATTATAATAAAAACATACGCTATTACTTTATTATTTACAATGTAAAAATTCTTACCAATAACAATTAATTACATTTTTAAGTTTTAAGTTTTTTACAATCAATACATAGTGTAGGGGAAGGGACATTCATTTCAAATGCGTTCAAGTTAAGTAAAATCACGTTAGTTTAATGGTAACACATATTTTTGATTATTAATTAAATTAATTTTGTTGCATTGTTTAACTCCAAGTATACAGGTTTAGATTAATTGAACCCGCTTTCATAAATTTAGGTATTCAATTAATTATCATCAAACTTTTTCATTTCATTACTTTTCCATTCAGATTAGTGTTATGTATTCAAATTATTTTTTACACTATGCCTGTGTGCGCCTGTGTGCTAGTTTATTATCTCACTAGCTGACCCGGCAGACTTCGTACTGCCTCAATCAAGAAATAAATTATTACTTATTTATTTTTTTGGTGTTTACCTTTAAGCCATAAATCTCCGTGTTCTGAAGTGCGACAAAATGATTGTCATATTAGTTAGTTGTCAAATCTAATGTCAAAAAACCGTTTGCATGGGAATTAGAAAAGCGCTGTTTTTGGGGTTTTCCCGGATTTTTTTTTTCAGCTTTTATACCTTCCCTGAACCTCCACAAACATTTCAAGACTAAGAAAAATCCATTCAGCCGTTCTCGAGTTTTAGCGAGACTAAGGAACAGCAATCCAGTTTTATATATATAGAAGATATAGATATTCATGAGCATGGAACCTAATAAAGATTTTTCTAGTATCACACTTCCGAATTCCTGCGTAGCCTAGATTTTTTCCTACTTTACAATTCAGACAAACTTACAGCCTTTAAAATATAATCGTATTCTTTCACCGCCTAATGAAGTCCATAACCCAAGTCGGTTTAGTCGTATTATATCTAATTTGTAACACAAAAGATTTGATTAACATAGAAAAAGTATTAAATTATGGTCACCACGGCACATGATGCAAATCCAAATACGATAAGAAAGAATATCCTCTTTCTTATGATGATCTTGAAAATGACTGTTTCTGTTTGATTATTATCTACCAGAATACGATGAGTAGGAAACTAATAGATGACAAATAATGTAGTACGTTTCAAAAGACTGAAACTATTATTCATCTCAAGATCACTAAAACCTTTAAGGAACTGTGTTGAATAAAGCTATGTGAAAGGAAATGGGGACTGCCTAGTGAAAAAGTTTATTCATTATCCATATGATAAAGCACAGATATGGGGCAATGTTAAAACGGTGACGGAAAAAATTAAAAAGCCGATATACATACATATATCTCTTTGTACAACATGTATAATGTAGAAGTGAATATAAAAATAAAGAGGTTCATTTCAGGGTTAGACTCCTTGAAAAGGAATAAAACAAATTATATGTAGACATTTATTAAGTATAATATTAATGTTAATGATACATTAGATGAACAAAGACGTTCGTGTACAATGAAAGTAGGTCGATTTGGCTTATAGGGCTTACAATATTTATCTTATGGCTATTGGTAGAGGTTTGAAATCGAAATCCATAAATTGTATTTAATAAGAAAACTAACAATAAAATACTTAACCTACGACACTTAATAACATAATAAATAGAGATTAGTAAAAATATAGATAGAGATTTATGAACTAATAAAGATGATGACATATATGTAAATAGTTTAAAACTCTAAAATACTTAAAATATGATAAAAACCTATTAATTAAATCCAAGAGTGATACAGGATTTTTACATCTAGGCTTACAAATAGAATTATATGTATATGGGTACCGCAAGCCTTTGAAATATAGAAATGTGAAAAGATTTGCTGAATTTCTTCCACATGACTTATATTTCCGTGAAAAAGTCACAATTTTTGTTATGTTTAAGTTATATAAATAATTGAGTTAAAAACTCCAGTCTCTAAGATTTCCGAAAATTCTTGTTTTATTATTAATATGTAAATGATATTTATAAATAGTTTAGTTACGATCTGTTTTTGTTAAGGAACTAAGATATAAGTATGTCTTGTAAACATAACAATATAAAAATACGTTAATATTTGAGCTACGGCCGAAATTGACGTAAAATAAGAATTTAAATACATCATGAAGTACAAGAAAATACAGGCCTTTTAGTACCCATTTGTGAGTAAATAGACACAACTTTAATCTCTAAAATTTTAATCGTAAAGGACATTTTTTTGGACTAGTTTATCGGGTATTCTTCTATATAAATAACTGTTACTCTCCGAGAAATCTTAGAAAATACACTATCAGATAAATACCTTCCTAACTACCCTGCTTCCAATTCGCAATACGTATTGGCACGTCTCGGTTTAGATACAGTTATCCATTTAAAAGAAATGGCTAAGCATGGGGTAACATCAAGCAAAGCCGGAATATCGTATAATTCCTCTCATCTGGGCGCAAAGCGTGGTTGACGTTCCAAAAAACATCCAAATTACTTCACCCGATGTACGTTACGGCGTAACAACTTCAACCATACCCGGCCACAGAATAAAAGTTATGCTATTGTCGAAACACTACATTAACATTGAGTGGTTACATATATTTTGATTATATTTTATTATAAAAGTTGTAGATGAGAGAACAAACAATTTTAAGTCCAGTTTTAAATACAAATTATAATTGACACGCAAATTAGTAGCGTTAAATTATTCTCATCTACGTTTTTGAAGTTGTTTAAGCTATAATTATGTCTCTTAGAGGCAAGGATCGGTATGGTGGGATGCTAAATTTATGGATATCAAAGTAAACTACTGGAGATAAACTACTGGATTTGGAAGTGTAAAGTAATAACCCTTGGTTTCACACTGTGATACCACTGTTTGGGTAAATTGACTGTCTACGCTCCTAATATTGCTTCTGTATACCGCTTGAAATCCGTCAATGTGAATCTCATCTGCCTTAAAACTAAATACATCTACTGAAGCATTAATATGCACTCCAAATATTAACCTACAAATAATTATACAACTGCCACTTAAATACAAACCACATTCCATCTCAATACGAGCTACCAGATATTACCAACTTTTATGATTAGTTCTTCATATATCATATTATCCTGTTCCATTTATTCTAACTTAAATACATATGTAGCGATGATATGAAAATACAGTGAGTACAAAAGCACAAAGCCTGATATAAGTTAACAACAAAATCTAGTATTTAAGCTAAAAAATATCTCAGTAGAGAAATAAGACTGAATGTAAAAAAAACATAAAGGGGGAAACCTTACCTGCTATGTCCTTTAAATGTAGTACTACCATAATTTTTTTGTTATTTTATTTCCTTTTTTAGTTTTTTTTTTAAATTTTATTTTGATATTTTAATCAGCAAATAAAAAAATCATATCTTTAAATACGCTTGAAGCTGATGAATGAATAATATACGATCCTACAGCTCTTTTACACTGAGCCAAGTCCTAGATTAAAAGACCTATTTTAATTCATAGTTAGACATATATTAAGAGACATATTTATAGCTGAGATTATTCCAAATAACCAGGAACTGGGACTTAGAATTTTTAAATCAATCCTCTTCACAGATGACAGGTGTAAGCAAGTTGAAGCTTTTAAAATAAATTTAAAAAATGATATTGTATTATAGGACAGGGTTCCGCAAGATAAGATTTTTTACATGAGCAAATGGATCTAAATATCCAAAAAATTTACGATCATTTGCCCAAGTACATAAACCTTATTCACATGAATGTAGTTGAAGATTAATAATTTAGTCTGAAAGAGAAGACGTTTCGTCATCAGAAGAAGAAGATTCATAAGAATCATCATCATCCATCTGATCTGGCTTCCAGGTCCAGCACTGGCCCTGAAAATTTATAAGAAATTAATAAATGCCTAATAAAATAATGTATTTATAAATTAATACATACCGTAGTCACTCTGTTATTACAGAATGAATAAATCTGGAAGCGGCTGTTCTCTCTCATCGGATTCTCATACAGCAGATTCGGCTTGGAGAGTATCTGGAAGGAAAACATTATATTTAGAAACCTGTGAATCCTTAAGTAATCAAAATTTATATAATATGTAATTAATATGATAGCTGACCATATTGTCCAACTCGTTGCCAAGCTGCTCAATGTAATCCTCTTCTTCATCCTCGCCAGAGTCTTTATCCATATCAGAGTCATCTTCGGATTGAGATGTTTCAGCAGCACCCGCTAAATTTTATATCGTATTAATATTGTTAGACAGTATAATTCATAAAAACAAAAAAATATGACCTACATTCTTCCTCCTTGTCATTGAGACTCTCATTGTACATTGTCAACTTGTAAAGGGCTTCAATATCAGACCATTCCTCTGAAAAATGATATACAATTTAAAGACTATACGGTGCAATATTTCTATCCAATAATATTGTTTTTCTAGCCACTCACTGAAGTAATACTGGCTAAAGTTCAAGAGGCCTTCGTCTTCGTCGGAATCGGGTACGTTAAGCAGGCTTTCGTTCAAGTCGTTGGCCATTGTTGATGACTACAAGAAAAATGTAATAATCTTTACAAACCAATACCAGAAATCCATATTATAAAATATCACAATCAGATAACGCCGAATAAACTATTGATGAAGTGACCTATCAATTCGTGAACACGAGATAATGATGCCGAAACAATTACAGCCATATTTATAAATAACTAACACCCAAACACAAACAAACATTTATAACAACAACATTCGCAATGATTTAACAATTGCGTATTATATCGCGCTAACATAAAAATAAAAACGAAATAAATTAATTTTTTTTTGTAAAACTAACAAAAAACTTATGTATCACAATCAAATATCGTTCGCACGAAAGCTGTTTAACTCATACGTCACTATTGTTCACGATATAATATACCTACATGTACATCTCTATAACATACGAATGCCGATAAAAATACAAATACTTCAACAATAAAACCTAATGTTTGTTAATAATGACATTATACATCAAAACTTACCTTCTTTTTTCCCTGTTAGAGAAGCTTGATGAATTTAATATTCTGCACTATGACCTCACGGATTGGTGGCCTTAGCGTAAATGCTGGGGATAGAATACCTAGGTTTTGACAGGTCCAAAATAGTGCCAGAATCCACGCGCATGTCTGGGAGGTAGGAGATCGCGCGTCTGTGGAGTATGGGTCTGGAGGCGGGCGAGGTTATATGGGCAGTGGGCTAACGGGCGGGGGGGTAATTACTCTCGGAAATCGGAAATACATAGAATATATTCATATATGTACGTAGGGCGTTAACATGAATTGTTAAAAACAAAGAAAATTTAGTTTTATATCAAATAAGCGATTATAAATTAGAGTGACAGTATACTTATACGATACTACGTATGACTTTTACAAGCAATGTTGATAAAGATTAATTAACAAATTATACCAAATATTTATATGTATTATAAACTAAAATATAAAAATTAAAACCCTTACTTTATAAGAATGTACTATACAATATATTACTATATTTATATAACTACAATGTGTTCTGATAACTCACATCCGCCACTGCAGATGGAGCTACGTGTCTCTTAAACTGAAGGAATGAAATATAGAGATGCTTTGTAAAAAATTGGCTTTACGTGAATTATAAGAGGTCAATAAGAGTGAAGATTCCTCCGGTAACTTTACCAAAGCCATAGCACTAACAACAATATACATTTATAAAAAGATTGCAATAACAAGAATAAAATCTACGTCTTATTTGTGACGCCTTAGATTAATTATTAATGATTAATGATATTTATTAATAACGAATACTTACACATAAACCAAAACTAAATCTTATTATTATCTTTGATTTATTAAAATTAATTATTAATGTATTTTATTAAAATGAATTATATTTTCTGTCAAATGGTGCTCAAAAAATATAGCGTTGTATCTAGCTCTCGGATTATTTTTTTAACTGTTTTTAAAAAAAGATCCATACAAAAAATATATAGAATGAAGTGATTTTAAGCTTCATGTCTTATTTTTTTTATTGTAGAACTCCAAACTTCGTCTTGAAATAATAAAATTCCAATCAAAGAAAAAAGTACTGTCCCATTCATGGAAAATCTACAAAATGTAGCTGCTGTTCTGATTATTAGAACATATTACTAGGATACTATGTAATTATATCAATATGTTCAGAAAATATGTATTGAACTTTATTCATTTATATGGAGAAAATGAGAGAAATATTTTATAACTAGAATTGTTTTTTATTCCTGCTCGGAGTTGTAGAAACGCGCTCCAACAAGATAACGTCATGACTTTTACATGACAACGGAGTAAAAATATTATAGAATATTTTTCTAAAGTTACTGAAGGAAATAGAATACAATAAAAATATACGTTAGCTTATCTCTATATGTTATTAATTTTAATTTTCGATGAAATTAAATACATTCTTTAGGACCTTTAAATTATCTAAACAAAAATTTTTTAATGTCCATCTTTACTTCTCTTAGTTCTGGCTAATATCTAAAAAGGTTTGGCGATTTTGATTAAACTTTCACTGCCAGATACGTAATATAAGCAAGAGTAGCATTGGTTACTTTTTAACCAATTACCAAAAAAAAAATTCTCATTTCTCATTCGTCTGTTACTCCTATTACTCCATTAATACTCCACTATTACTCCATTAATTACTATCGGTCGATTTATTTTTGATTGAAATGCCCCAGGCAATAGCTAGTGATTTAAACAAATGGAATAAAATATATATTTTATAACGATTTTCACTAATTAATTCATTAGAACACCTAAAGTATATATTTATTACCCAACATATTTTAGAGCTTCAAAGAAAAATCAATCCATTTTATTGAATGTAGTTGATAATTTAATAGTATAATATTTTATTTAAATTGAAATATTTTATTATTTAACGCTGCAGTGGTTCTGATGGAGTCCTGTGCATTTTTTGTTTTTTACCTGGGTCCGATATGGCAAGAGGCTAGATTTTTAACAAAACAAAACCCTGGAACAGTTTTCATTACTTATGACTAGTATAAGTCCGTTTTCTGCTGTTGTTATTTTAATAACTTTAAGAGTGTGCTAGTTAAATTGAGAAGTATGAAAATAGTGATTTACTTTTTATATGTTCACATACTCGGAATATACAACGTAATTGTGTACAACTTAAAAAAAGCGACGACAAAATAAAATAAAAGTTGCCACACTCCTTTCATAAAAGGAAGTGTTTATAATTGCAGTTTCTATGGCTTTTATTTCATTTATAAAACGAAAAGCCTTACATTGAAATCGAAACAATTTCTAAGCATTTTACATAGTTTTTAATTCCATTAAAGTTTAGTGTATTCCTCAAAATTTAAGCCACTTGGGTTACCATTATCAACGTTGCACATTCAGTTCTTATTTTTCAAAATATTGATCTCGAAATTATCTTTGAAATTCGAAATTGCTTTAGTTAGTAAGTAACGCGTTGTTATAAATATTAAAATTTTATTCCCAACTAGAAGACCTGGCGAACTTCGTATCGCCCTATAATCAAGAAATATCTATTACGTTTTTTCATTTATATTTTTGGAGTTTACCTGTAAGCCATAAATCTCCGTGTTTTGAAGTGCGACAGAATGATTGACATATTAGTTAGTTGTCAAATCTAATGTCAAAAAAAACGTTTGTATGGGAAATAGAAAAGGTCTGTTTTTATGGTTTTCCCAGTAATGAATCATTTTTTTACAGCTTTTATACCTTCCCTGAACCTCCTCGAACATTTCAAGACTAAGATAAGATAAATCCGTTCAGCTGTTCTCGAGTTTTAGCGAGACTAAGGAACAGCAATCCATTTTTATATATATATATATAGAAGAAGATTATCTTAACACATACTTTTTCTTTGCTATAAACAAATTACTCTTTTATCGATCATACAAACAAGAATTTACAAAGTCATAATAAAACACAGAAATACCTAATTTTAGCTATTAGCCGATAATATATTTCAAAGCTTATTATATCATGATAAGCTTTGGTCATCTGAAACTAAGAGAGCTGCAAATGTATATAACTTCAAGTTTTTGTTCACTGTACGTAAAATTATATTGCTATAACTAAAATTCCTTACTTATATGTACTTTTTAAATAGCTTTAGATATTATTTTTATAAGGCTGGTAGTTATAACTTCTCTTTTATAGTTGCCTTTATTTTTTTTTAATACTATCCATTGTATAAAATAAAGTTACGAACCTAATATATTTATAAAGTTTTAAAAAGTGCCCATATCTGTGTTTAATACATAAGGTTTAAAAATCAACATTACTGTTTAAAAGGTATATTCACAACTAGTAAATGCCAAAAAAAAATAAGTATAAGAAACTTTTCTAATGAAAATACATACTACTAGTTCACGGAAAAGTAATTAAGTTAGTAACTAAAAGGAGTAAGCTGTAACTCCATTACATTCTGTAGTAACCTACAATAAAGTTTCATTAAATTCTACTCAATAGTTTACGTCAAAGAGGAAGAAATATGAGCAGACTTTTCCATTCATGATATTAAAAGGATTATTAGAAATTATTTTATAACATTACACACATCTTTATAGTTGTTTTGAGTTTGTACTTTTATCCAATCAAGTAGCTAGATGTGATAGTTTTTGGTATCTTTCCCAAACGCTGGGAATCCTTAGCAGCGCTTGTCACACTGCTACCATGATCGTTACCATACTGATATTATTGGTGAAGTAGTGAGCAGTAGGGTGATTATCTAGAACTGCTGTTATTTATCTTCGGTTTTCTCACACTGAGAAGTTATTGGTTCCGTCATTCTAGGCACTGGATTGGCGATAGGTATAACTGAAAACTATGTCAGATGGTGCTGCTGTTCGCAGTTAAAATTGTTTTTTGGTCTAACCAAAACCATAAAATTGATTTTTGTTCTATACAGAAACACTGTGTAGGAGCATGATAAACTGATTTTTGTTTAAGTTGGTGGTTAGCAATTATTGGTGGATGCAGGCCGCTCGGAAAGAGGACAGCTGCCGCACTTTGCGGGACCAAGCTCATCATGATTGACAAAAGTAAAAGAATCTTTATTGATAATAAGTCTTACCAAAAATATTAATATTCACTACATACCTTCTGTAAAGAGTATTGTATGTACATACATGTATTTAAAAAACCTTCTAATAAGCTTTATCGCTTAAAGAACATGGATTTTAAGGGAAAAATAAAATTTGGGTTGGGGTCATTAAGATTTTTATTATTTACAAATTTTTAAACTCACTTTATAGAACCATAACCAAGAAGATTCATAACTTATGAAAAGGAATATATTTGAATGAGTTAGTCCTTTATAATTACTAGTTTTTGCCAGCGACTTCGTCTGCATTACTGTCAGAATTAGAAATGTTACATATAGCTGACCGGGCGAACTCTCTTCCTCCTTATAAGCAGTATATACGAAGATTGAAGATTGAAGATTTTATTTTTTCTTTTAGGATCGGATGAAAAGTATCCTAT